TGACATAGAGGGATATACCACTGGCTTCGGAAACCCTGATTGGGCCGGGACACATTCCGCCGCTAAATCTACAGTGCTGGTAGTGACAGACCTCCTAACGGCAGGTGCAACTTGTCATGGAAAAACCATCATGGATGAAATGGCTTACTGGTTAGAATTTTGATAAGATTTTTATGACTGCATATATATATGTGTACTTCATAATACTTGTATGTGTAATTTTTTCTTATTCTGCATGTATGGGGTAAATAAACATTACGGCACTCCGACGAATCCTTGTGCACCAGATAGGGTGCCCGGAGGATCTTCCAGCGGCTCTGCGGTTGCAGTAGCTGCGATGCTAGTGGATTTCTCCCTTGGTGATTATTTCCGTTGCAGAATGAGATGTCTTTGACTATGTATCCTCCTTAAAGTGAACGACCTTTTATTTTCTAAAACAGGAACTGACACTGGAGCAAATGTAAGAGTCCCTGCATCATACTGTGGATATCTCTGATTTCGGCCTTCGCTCAGTGCCATCTCTACTGTAGGAGTTGTTCCTATGTCACAGAGTTTTGATACTGTGGGTAAGGGATAAATGTAACTAGACCAACTAATAAAATACTTTGATCTATACTTTTATGTCATAACCACATAGCTGTTAGGGCCTTCATCTGGCTTCATTTTTTTATCCCAAAAATTCATATTTAGGTTGGTTTGCTCGGGATCTTATGATTTTAAACCACGTTGGACGTGTTCTTCTGCATTACCTGATGTCGATCCTATCAAACCGAGTCAGATTATTATTGCAGACGATTGTTTTCGCTCGTCTAATGTTCCAAGCTATAGAACAGCTCAAGTTCTAGTAAAGTCAACCGAAAAGCTCTTTGGAGGTAAGTAATTCTACCGAAGACTTCCTCGGCTTGGCTCGAATGGTAACATATACGATTTTATGGGATTAAAAGTGCAGCTCAATGTGTTAAACATATTATCCTTGGAGACTATGTGAAGGACAAAGTGCCAAGTTTGCAGCATTTCATGGATAAGGGAAATGAAGACCAAGAACATACCATGCCGTCATTTGCAGCCCTTTCAAATGCAGTGAGGTTACTTCAGAGGTGCAAAAACATCTCGAAACTTTCAAAAATGAACTTTAGGTATTTAAGCATTGTTTATTTTCCTGTAGGTATGAATTTAAGAATAACCATGGTGAATGAGCCACCAAAGTGAATCCGGATTTTGGTCCAGGAATATATGAACACATATAGGACGCGATTAAAGTAACCGGAGAAAATATCAACTTCAGCCACTCTGTGCGGACAGAATTACGCGCTGCACTTACCACACTGCTTGGGGTAAGAAACATCTATTACTTCCAATGTAAAGCAGTTCTAGGCAAATCCTGTTTTCTTTCATATAAATCAATCAACTAATACGATACCTTAAGGATCATGGAATCCTTGCACTCCCAACAACACCAGAGGAACAGCCAAAAGTGCAAACAAATCCAGCTGCATCGGATATGTTCTTTTCTAGGACTTTCGGTTTATTGTTCGTTGCCAGAGCATCTGGTTTCTGTCAGGTTCGAACTTGATATGCTGTAAGTTATGTTGTTCTTTTTCCTTTTTCTTATGTGTCTATGGTAAGGTATATTGATTGGGTTATACTATCTGTTCTCTACAGGTTAGTGTACCTCTACGGATGTATGACGATGCTCCTGTGTCTATTTCCCTATTGGCAAAACATGGTTCAGATGCATTCCTGCTGAATCTTGTTGAGACTTTATATGACACCCTCCAAGAAGAAACTAGACAGCTTAAAGAATAAATTATGTCTTTGTTACGTTATCTGGCCTAGAAACAACCGTACCGGTGAATCGACGTATTAATATAATTGATGGCTTAATGCTGCAGAACACATGAGAAACTGCTACTCTGTATAATATATAGTTTAAGTTTAAACACTGCTGCTAAGCTATTGGACACAAAACTTGTTCCTGCAATTCTGTTTTTCCTAGAACCACTTTAGTATACAATACCATTAGCTGAAACACATTGAGAAAATCAATCACTATATAATCAAAGCCAATCAAATTTCTTTAGATTCAGAAATTATCAATGGAAACACCGCTGAGCCTTCGTTCCCATGCTATACAGCATTTTGAAATAGGCATCTCTCCATGATTTATTAAACAGCAATGGCCCTGCAATACTCCAAAACGCAACGACAAATCCCAGCGCCGCACTAACGGAAGACCAAAACCAATCAACTTCAAGTCCACCCTCTGATCTCTCACTATTTCCGGCATCATCAGGTTCCACTGCAATTATGGTGCAGTTATGTGTAAGTGGAGGTCCGCAAAGGTTGTTACCAGCAAAATTTGATGCATCGAAACTTTGGAGTTGAGTGCCTGTCGGAATCTCCCCCATTAAATTGTTGTATGCCACGTTCAAGTAACTCAAGAACGCCAATTTTGATATACTTCCAGGGATTGCACCAGGGAGTTGGTTGTTTGAAAAGTGCAGAGATTCTAATGTTGCACCAGGGAGTTGGTTGTTTGAAAAGTGCAGAGATTCTAATGTTCCCATATTGTTAATAATCTGAGGGATCCTTCCCGACATACGATTTATCGACAGGTTGAGTGATCTCAAGCCTAGAAGATCAGTTATCCCGACAGGGATTTCGCCAGTTAAACCGTTGCCTGAAAGGTCCAAGCTTGTCACAAGTCCAAGGGTGCTCCTGTATTCAAGCAGTATCCCCTTGATCACCACTAATGTTGTCTCTATCGAGTTCTTGAAATGGCCGAAAGAATAAGAAATTGGGTCAGTCGAGTTTCTTTTATCGACAATGGAACTGAAATTATTGAAACATTATGGTATCTTCCCTAACGAATTTTAATGTGCCAGGTCCAAATTTGCGAGAGAACTAAGAGCACAGAGTTCACGAGGAACATCACCTTGAAACTTATTTGAACGAAGACTGACAATCATGATTTTCGACAAATTTCCGCCAATCCAGCTCAGAAATCTCCCTTCAAATTTGTTTTCAGTGTGGTCAAGAACCAAAAGGAACGAACAATCCTCGAATGATGTGGCAAAACTCCATAAAGGTTGTTCTTGCGTAGGTGTAAAGACTGAAAAAAAGTTTAAAGAACCAATGGAGCTAGGAAGGCTACCACTTAGATTATTGTTCTCCAAATTAATGGAAAACATGTTTGGCCAACTCATCAAACAATCTGGAATTGATCCGGATAGATAATTATCGGCTAAATGAAGAGTTCCCAAGCTTTTTGGTACCTCCATCTTGCAGCACAAAAAGGGTGACATCGACCCCGAAAATGAATTGTTTGAAAGATCTAACGTACCCACATTGGATGGAAAACAGGTTAATGAACCCTGGAGGAAATTAGATCTTAGATCAATGGATGATGCATAACCTGTGGAATTGATTTTTGGATAGGTCCACTTATCTCAAGGATGGAAGTCTGGAATTGGACCTGAAATGGAATTCTTCGAAACATTAAGATCACGAAGATTTTTGAATTGATCATATTGATTGCTCAGATAACCGTAAAGTTCACAATTAATAAAAAATAATGACTCAAGTCTACCAGACAGGCATCCTGACAGAGATTCTAAGACGTCGAATATGTTTTGACTCGATCTGACACCAGACATATTAAGAGTTTGTCAAGTTGCACAGGTTTCCCAACGATCTTAATGCTGCTCCCTGGAGATATATAAATCAAGCAAAGAGAGCTAACCTTTACAATGCATGTTCTGATCAACATGCAAAAGTAGATCAAGGAACAAACTTTACTTAGGATTCAAGGGCTGAAATGGGTTCATTTTCTCAAAAAAAAAAAAAAAAAGGATATAATCTAAAGATACAGCTTTAAAAAAAGCAGAAAAACGAGATTTTTCTTCATTCTTTTGCTTTGTCTTCAGCACTTAACAAACAAAGGACTAAATCCGCAACTTCGAAACTGGAAGTCTTTCAAAAACAACTCAATAGAGCTCCACAGTATAACAGATCCATGAGAGTCATGGTACATATGTACTTCTCAAGCTTAACATTGCCACTGGCTCTTCGGTCCCTTGTCACTTGTGGGAAGCCACCCCCCTCCCGGTTACATTTGCACTCTAGATATTCAAGTCAAGTACTTCTGTTTATGTAACCAATCTTAAACTGCTTATTAACATCTGATTTGAAATATGGTTTTCATTCTATTTTTCCCGTTCTACTTTTTAGGGGTCAACAATGGCAATGGTTTTGTAAGTACCCAATAATATTGAAAAAAAATGTGTTTCACATTAACATAATTTTTTTTATATTTTTAGAATATGATGCTTATATATATAATATATATTTGACACAACAGAAGTCGCTAGTTGATTGTTCAGAAGCTCACATTTAATGACTCAACTTGACTCGATTGAATGATAGACAACACGTTTAACTTAGTCACCTAAAAGAAATAATTAATTATGAAAGCTGATATGAGTTAATGATATAGCATATAACTTACCTAGGGATGTGCATGGGTCGGGTCATGTCGGATTTTCGGTTCATCCAACTCGATTCGAAAATTATAAATCTTCCACCCGACCCGGTATTTGAGATAAAACCCGAATCTGACCCGACCCAACCCAACCCGAAATAATATATTTAATAAAAAAATATTATTTTTATTCAATAAAAATAGGGATTTAATTGAAAGAAAATAACATATAGAAGAGTATTATTGCAATTATCCCTAACTATATAAGGTAAAAATACATTTTTTGGGTCGGATCGGGTATTTTTAACGCTAAACCCAAACTCGATCCATCCCGAACATAACCTTTTAAAAAAAAAAAACGACCAGAGCAGACCTGAACCCGAAATCGTTTTTAAAAAATCCGACCCAATCAGTCGGAACCCATCGGGTTCGGGTCCCATGCCCATCCCTATATAGCAATCAGCTTAACTTTAGGAATTAACTACTAAGGCAAGCATTTAACTAGGAATGCAAAGATATATAAATCAAAATCATAGCAAGACACTCATTCTTTTGTTACATAACACAGACACAAATAGTAGCAAATTGATATAAACAAGTACTAGAGGGGAAGTTGTTATTTGATGATGGAGTATACAGCTTGTAAAGCAGTGAGGGTCAAAATAATAATGGCAAACACTTGAGAAACAATAGCCCAAGGTTTCCCAAAATAATTATGCATGTAGAATGCATGCCATCTATGCCACCATTGACTGCAATAGCCATGAACTTGGTTGCAAAGCTCATGATAATGGAATTCCTTCACATAAGCATCAAAATAAAGCTTGTTGAAGAATTTCGTTGCGTCGTCAAGGTTCAACCAGTTATCTATGACGTCTTTCTTACATAGGACCTCCATGTCGTCGGTCGTGTCGATGAGGTTATCAAGGAGTATTGCATAAGAAGTCAGTCTCGGGGTGCAATTCGGATAACATTGCTCGAAGCTGATGAGGTTGCGAAAGACGGTTTCCGTCGTCTCTTGGATAAGCAAAGAAGGGATTTCGAGGACACCGTTGTTGAATTTTATATCCAATATGCTTTTTGACTCAACTTTCTTGAAGCTAACTCCGGCTTCTTTTAGCTTAGATGCAGAAGGGATTGGTTGCCATCCTGAATAATCAGTTTCGTCGCCTTTTTCGGACGGCAAAACCAAGGTCATTCTTAAGAGATCTATGATATGTTTGATCTCTTTCCCGAAGAAAAGATTTTGGTCCATGGGAGGTGCATCTGATGAAAACATGTTCCCGAAGAATTCGATGGCAAGTTGAGCTAAGGACATGGTTTCATTAGCAGACCTGGTTAGATTAAACAAGATTTCAAGCACCATCCATGGCACTTGATTTTCTAGTAAAATCAAATCATGATATAGAAACTGAAGCATACAAGACATAGTGAAAATGGGATCATCTTCGTCTCTTTCGATTTCATCAGCATCTTTCCGGAACAGCTCAATAATAAAGCAACCATCAAGCACCAAAATCTTTACGAATTCTTCATCGCTGAATTCAACAGGACCCCCATAACATTCACGAGCTTGAAGCTGGATCTCTCTGATGGCTTCTTCCAGCTCCACCAGTTGAGTCGGCGGATTAGGGGAACGGTGAATGAGACCTTCAAGATACTTCAGTTTGAGGTTCTGTGTCCCTTTTGAGTGTGTTCGACCATAGTGCCAGGGCCCAATTGAGAATGCATCAGGCACATAAGCCTGTCTATTATGTCTGTAAAGTATGATTGGAGTTTTGAAGATGCAACACTTGCTGGACATGATAAAATCATCGAATGCCAATGTTTCATAAGATGACATCAAGTCTTGGACATCAATTTCAACGTGTTCTTCCCTGCTCTTTCTCATCCTTCTCCTCACTAAAATGTAAAATCGAAAAGGAAAATAAAAAACCGGATAACATAGTTTAGTACATCAGTTACTAAATATGACTTCTTCTTGATCTAAAATTGTAGCTAGGCTTACTTGAATGCTCTGCCTAAACAGTAATGTAATGATAAACTGTATAGCAATAGATTTCCATACATACCGGTTTAGAAGCTAATTTTGAATGCAGCAATCTGGATTCTACTTCCAATAACAAATCCTGTACTTCCTTGAACAAACTGCAATCGATGCTTAAATTTGTATTCTGTTGCGGCTCAATGTATTTCAGAAGCAGTATAAGCAGGGAAATGACGCTAAAATATAAAGCGAATTTTGAAGAGAATTCTTTCTTTTCTTATAGGATGGGGAAAGGGAGATTCGTTCAAGACTGGGACATATTTCATGATTAATTCTTTTCTTCCAGGATTGTAATTCCTGGATTTTGCTTGTACTACAAGTTTCAGTCCAAATTTTGAAGCTTTGAGGCTTTCACATATATAAATTACTGAAAGTACACAGAGTAAACTTAAACTATATCAATAAGTTGGTAATACACATAGTAGAAACGAGAAAAAGAAATCATCCCTTCCACTTAAGATAGCTACAGCTTAATTTTATAGCCACGTTCGGTTACATATTTAACCATATTGTCGAGCTCCTCCTTGCTTATAAGCCCGTCATTATTTGCGTCAGTGTGATGAAGTCCTGCTCTATGTGCTCTCCACTCTGGTAAATGAGAACCAAGGCTTCTGAAGGCTTGCTTGATCTCTTCGTTACTGAGTCGACCATCGCGATTGTGGTCATAGCGTTCTAACATCATCATCAGTTGGTCGACGGGTGGATCGTTAGGTGACCAATCTTCTTTCTTTTTGCCTCTTTGCCTTCTGCACCTTTTATCGACATTGAGAGAATTCATAGGAGGAGATGTGGAAGTATAGGACAGGGAGACCCCAATCTCTCTGTAGAAGATTATATGTTTTGCTTTGCGCCTTCCTGATCTGATGTTTATGGCAGGGCCAAGCTTATATAGAGAAGGGATATTTATTAATTTCTCCTAGTTATCCTCTTCCTTGCAAGATTATGGAGAATCAGAATTTAATTCAAATCTCCTAGAGTGCAAATTGCCACATAAAATATTATTTCCACTAGAAAATGGGAGAGAATAAGGTTCCTGGTAATCTTCCACAAGTATTCATTTTAGTTTTTGGTTAATCGTATTTGGGAACATTTTCTAATCTTGAATGATTAGATTCCAACCTCTCTATACAAGAATATAAGTTTTGCTTTGCCTTTCTGATCAGATGTTTTAAGCAGGGCCAAGCTTATATGGAGAAGGGATAATTTATTAATTATCTTCTTCCTTGCAAGTTCAAAAGCATATATTTTTCACTCTTGGAATCCAAATTTGATATTATTGATCAAGATTATGAAGAATCAGAACTTAATTAGGATTACTTCATCCTCTCTTTTCCCCTTTTTTTCTTCTTTACAAATTGTGTCAATTTTATTGATCAATTTAACTTTTTCTTCTTTAATTTTGTTTAACCGGAGACAATATCGGTTTTAATGTTGATTGCCGTCTGCCAGTTATCTTTTTTCTTTGTTTTTTTTTAAATTTTTTAATAAAAATAATTATGTCTTTTTGACATGTTCTCTGCATTTACGACACGTTTATCTATGATTTTTTGGCATATTTTTCTCCGCATTTTGGTAGCTTACGGTTTCTGCTGTTGTTTTTATTTATCTTTTTTTCTCAGGGTTGGATTTGAAATCGCCACGACTGATCAAGATGGCGCTTATTTGTTATCATGTTGATCTCCCCTACTTTGGACCCTCAGATTGATTTCGATACACGTTTTGCATTCGTGAATAGTTTTCTCACGTCGCTTTACTCTTATTTGCAATTTGTCGATGGTCTTTCAGTAGCTTTATCCCCTTTTGTAGTTCTTTTACCGATGCAATCAGATTTGTTTGTATCTTTATTTTATTCGATTTTTTTGGTTAGGTTTTTTAACATTTTCCTTCTTTGGTCCTTATGTGATATAGATGGCTAGTTTTTGTCTCAATGGTAATTGGAAAATACCGTAATTATATTTTAAGTTTACGGTTATACTTGTAAATATTCATTGTAATTTTGGATATTTTCCATTTTTAATAAAACTAGCAACTTTCTATCAAAAAAAAAATTAATTAGGATTACATAGACTGCAAATTGCCCCATAAAATATTATTTCCACCTGGAAATGGAAGAGAATTATTGGAAAATGATGTATTTAATTGACGGATTTAATATTTATATTAAATTCATATTCCTTTTGACTATTGTAAATTAAATATATTATTTAACTTGAATATTAGTAGAATAATTACTCTTTGAATATGTCAATTTAAAATGGTAAGGTAAGCAACTTGATATCACTTAAGCAAGCCTCGAGTTCGAGTCATTGTGTATGCAGAAAATCCTCGCTGGGAGACTCACCACCAAAGTCAGGTGTGTGACCCGGGTCGGTCCGAATTAGTCAAGGCAAACCTTGGGAATCGAAAGGGCAACCAAAAAAAGAAGGTATTTGTTATCTTTTTAACTTTGACTATTAAAGATAATTATATACTTTTGAATATTTCAAATTAAAAGGTATTATTGTCTATTTAATGTTGATTATTAAAAGATAGTTGGATGTATTAAATCTCTCTTGAAAATCCCCTATAAATAGTGAGTTAACCCTGCTAAGTTAAACACAAGTTTACATCTCAGATTTGAAGAACTTTTCTTCTTTTGGCCAACTGAACTGAATTGACATAACTACCCATGCATATCAAGCCTATAGGCCACATAACAATGACATCACTAACCCACTCCTCGCGAATGTTCAGGCCTTTCACCTTAGTTAGCTCCTAAAGTGCCTCACGTACTTGCAATGCCCACTAGGGCAACTAAGGTAACTTGGGTATACCTTAACATAGCTAGACTTACTAAAGTGAAGTCAACGTCACATTAACTGCTATCTCGCTCTTTTTCTCAACTATAACGTTATACGAATGCTTACTTATTAACTGTGAGACTGACTAGCCCGATCTTTGGCTCGAGTTCATTTCTGCGTAGTGGTACTCCATTCGATCTTATCGTACTTTCCTTCAGAACCTCTTGAATAGAAAAGGGAAGCTTACTTTTCCTGGGTTCATCGACATACTTGAAGCTCATGTTTTTCGCTATCATTGAATCTGACATAAACATTGTACCGCTTATCAGGTATCTCTTGTAACAACCCTCGGTCCCAACTATCCGTATACATCCTCGATTAAAGATACTTCAGCATATTACACTTAATATGGTTACACTTGATGTAACATGCTCTTACGAGTGTTTTTAGGTATGCTTGGTCATTTATGACCCTCACGAATTAAATCTTACTATTATAGATCGTCCTTAGCTCTTACAGACATTAAATAGGTCAAAATTGACCATCTGAAGTGAGTTGTATCGATACTCTACTTGTAGTATTGATACCTTAGGGTCAAGTATCGATACTCCTATGAATATCAGTAACAAAAATGCATTCAGTTACGAGATCAGTATCGATACTCTAGCCCAAAATCCCTAATTTTTCCCCCGATTCATCCAATATCGACACTCAAACCTTGAAATGGATATTTTAGGCTTGAAACACTCAAAATTCATCTTAAAGGACATAATTTGATTCTAAATCATGCACCAATGTTATGGGTAGTTATTTAGGGTCTTAAGGTGTCATAAAATACTTACTAAACAATAAATTTGTGATTTATAGCATGAATCAAAAGTGAAACCCTAAATACTCAACTACACAAATCTTAGCAATTTCTTGTGATTTATGAAAACTTAATACTCCAAAGGATTAGAAATACATTACCTTAGTTTCAGAAACTCGAAATGAACCTCCTTTAGCTACCAATCTCTCTCGTCAAGGATTATATGATGAAAACTCCTCTTTCCTTGCAAAAATAAAACCCAAAGCTAGAATCTTCAAAAATGAGGTTCCTGGGCAATTTAATAAGACGAAAATGAAGTATAAAAGAGCTCAAGATCTTACCTTGCTATGGAACTTGGATAGGGAAGGAATAAAGAAGAAAAATGAAGAAGATGGAGAGGAAATGGGAGAACCCACATCTAAAACGAAATAAAACCCCAAATTTTAGCTTCAAATTCCAACAATGGTTTAATTGCTCTTTTGGTTGCTCCCATTTGGAGTCCTATTTAAAAATCCCCCTTTTGTGACTAATTGGGCCCTAATCCAGACCTAATTAAGACCAATAACTTAAACCATGAAATTTATGGGGTCCACTTACATCTCAAGTAAACCCAAAACTACTAGCCCGAAATTTGAGGTGTTACAATCTTGCTAAGAATCAAATTCGATCTCAATTTCCCTTAGCAGACCGCCACTAAGTGTGTTTAGAAGAAGCCGAATGTGCTATAAGCCGATCCTTCCTCCCAACTATTAGTCGAAACAACTAAAAAACCAACGAGTTCTTTTTGTTTGAAAGCGTTTTAATTATAAAAGGACAGTCGATTACTGATCCTTGATTCTAGAAAACTAAAAATGTAACCATAAGGGTATTGAGTGTTTTTCAATTCTCACAATTAGAATTGAGTCATCGCTTTAGCCTTTGGCTATGAAAAACTTAGCTAAGCATGATAGAAATCATGCTTAGTATTTTTTAAATAAAGAAAGCTTTTAAAATAAATAAAGAATGAAAGAAAAAGAAAAAAATTTATAAACTAAAGTAAACAAGAACAAGTAAAAACCTGAAGGTGAAATATATGTTTGAAGCTTACCCCTAAGGTGTATTTATAGCTTCTTAAAACCCTAAAATGCTCAAGATAATTCCTAAAAATTACAAAAGATAATTACCTAAAAATCACAAAAGATAATTCTCTTAATTGTTTGAATAAAATCTCAAAAATAAAGATAATTCCTAAATTCAAGTCTAAATTTGCGGCTGGGTCTTTTGATTCCACAAA